TGGAATCTATGCTAACCGAAGGGAATCTGAACAGTTTGACATCACAAATGACATCACAAAGGCAACAGAACCTGGAGCTTTCTGCGTGAAGAGGTTCTCTCCCCTTCAGAAATAAATGAACATGGGCAGAATCTGGAAACGTCATTGCAGCTTTACATGTGCCAGTTTATATTAATCCCTTTTTCTCTTACGTTGCACAAGAATCTACCATAGCATACTGCCATCTCCTCTAATTCTAAGGTGTCCAAATAATAAAATAAATGTTCATAAATTTACAGAGTGGGCACACAAACATAGCTACATAAACTGGATTCAGAAACGGTGCAGGGGTCCCTTAAATGACCCCAAATGTTTCTCTGCAGTAGAAGGAAGTGTCTTGGGGGGAAAGGACCTTTTCAAATAGTTCACTTTCTCATGTAAATCCTATAAATAAATAAACTATTTGGAATGAACATCAAAAAAACGAAGATCATGGCCACTGGGCCCATCACCTCCTGGCAAATAGAAGGGGAAGAAATGGAGACAGTGAGAGATTTTACTCTCTTGGGCTCCATGATCACTGCAGATGGTGACAGCAGTCATGAAATTAAAAGACGCCTGCTCCTTGGGAGACAGGTGATGGCAAACCTAGACAGCATCTTAAAAAGCAGAGACATCACCTTGCCAACAAAGGTCCGTATATTTAAAGCCATGCTTTTCCCAGTAGTGATGTATGGAAGTGAGAGCTGGACCATAAAGAAGGCTGATCGCCGAAGAATTGATGCTTTTGAATTATGGTGCTGGAGGAGACTCTTGAGAGTCCCATGGACTGCAAGAAGATCAAACGCATCCATTCTTAAGGAAATCAGCCCTGAGTGCTCACTGGAAGGACAGATCGTGAAGCTGAGGCTCCAATACTTTGGCCACCTCATGAGAAGAGAAGACTCCCTGGAAAAGACCCTGATGTTGGGAAAGAAGGGGAGGAGAAGGGGAGAAGGGGATGACAGAGGACAAGATGGTTGGACAGTGTTCTCGAAGCTACAAACATGAGTCTGACCAAACTGCAGGAGACAGTGGAAGACAGAAGTGCTTGGCATGCTCTGGTCCATGGGGTCACGAAGAGTCGGACACGACTAAACAACTAAACAACAACATTTGGAATGAAGAGACCTGCTCCTATGCAAAACCAGTCTGGCAGGTATCTGTTAAGCAGAGCAGACATGTCAATAGAGCATCTTCTTCTGAGACAAGCCATACTCTCACATTTCTGTTGTAGAACACCGCTTTCTGTGATACATTTATGATGCTTCCTTGGGTGGTCCTTGGCTAAGGGACCAGGCAATTTCTAAAACCTTTAGAAGTTCTTGCACATCTTTGTCCTGGGTCCTCACCTCCTATCAAAGCTGTTAGGGGAACTTCTGTTGCAACAGAATAATAAAGATATGCCTTGCTTTCACAGGATCTTGACTCAGCTCATTTTTCTCTGACCTATCACAAACTTGAGGGGCTCTGAGTCCTTTAATAGTGAGTCGGGCTGTTAAAGACACTCCCTTCCTTTCTGGTCACACCGACCTGCAGATTTATTTTCTGTATTAGGACTCTGATTCTTAAAATAAAATATCCTTCTATTACCTATTTCTGGTGCCTTCCTGTATAGTCTTAACAGCTGGCAAACTACTCACCAGTCTAGAATTTGTAGAACAGCTAGAAGGAGCTGTTTGCAGTTAGACATCTCTGTTTGATTATCCTCACACTATCAGAGGGATGACCCTAAAGTAAAATTCTTCACAATGACGACAACAAGACCTTGCCCACCCAAACCCTAAATTGGGCTACTTGGTTGAGAAAAATTGAGGGGGACTAGGAGAAGAATTTCATTTGACAATAGCTACTGGCAATTGAAGAAATGTTTCCCCTTCCAATATTGGAGAGAGGATGCTCTGAGTATCAGTTGCTGGGGAACATATTTAGAGAAAGTGCTGCTGCACTGATCTCCAGCTTATGGGCTTCTGTTTGGGGCAGGTGGTTGCCCATTTTCAGAACGGGATACTGGACTTTATAGGCCTTAGGCCTGATCCAGCTTCAGGGCTCTTCTGATGTCCATCATACACCACTTTCTTCCTCCTTGAACCATATCAGTTTCTTGAGTCAACATGTTTTTCTCCTGTTCTCCACCTGCTCCCATAAAGTTTCAGAAGAGATGTTTCTTCCCCTTACAATCATCAGAACAACAGTGATCTATTCTTATCCTTCCCATAATCAAAGTGATTCCCTTGTACACCCTTCAAATGTTACCTTTGGGAACAACAATGCAAACATCACAATTAAGGGCAGAAGGAGGTTATTTACTCCACTGTGCTTGAAAGGTTTGGTGTATAAAATATATTGTTTGATGTATAAAATATCCTGCATGTCACAGAATCCATGCAGTCAAGATATAGGGCAGGTGAAAGGGTACAGGAGATAGGTCCTTGTGGAGCGTAATCAATAGGAAGCTGCCTTCTAGCTCTGTGCTATCTTCTGGCTGGCAGCAGCTCTCCAGGTCAAGAACATCCTCAGTCCTACCTGGAGTAGTTAGCAGAGGTGGACCCTGGCACCTTCTGGGTCAGGTATGTCCAAAGTCCGTTTCGGGGCCCGATCTGGCCCGCTGGTTGGTTTAATCCGGCTCCTGTGGCAGTTTATCTCCTGTTTATCCTAAAACAAAGCTCAACAAACTCAACCCTAAAAAAAGGTCAACCACAAAGGTCGGCCCTTTGGTCGGCCCTCCACTTCATCAAATCTGGCCCTCTTTGAAAAAAGTTTGGACACCACTGTTCTGGGTGCAAAAAAAGATGCTCCACCACAGAAGCTATGACCCTTCACCTCATTCCCCTTTTGGCTTTGAAGCCAGAGCTGAACAACCCCATATTTGTGAAGTCAGTGAAGCCTCTGTCTTGCAAGAATTTGGGTGTTTTTCCCCCTAATTAGTGGCTTGTGTTGAGAGGAATAGTCAGAAGGGAAGTGTAGTAGGCTGACCACAGAAATGCAGCAGAGGGCAAAATGTCCACTGAATTTGATTGAGGATAAAAATCCATAGCTGTTAATGTTTCCCCTTTTTAAAGGGAAATTCCCTTATTCTGAATAGGATTCCTCGCAAGAAAAGCGGAAAGTTGACAGCTATGTAAACATCTGGCTGTGAATTATCACCGGCAAGGAGATCACCTCATTAGTGGAGTCATATCTTCAAGATTAATTGGAAGTCAACTTCCCTTTAGTTTTGGAAGGGGCCGCGAGGGTCATCGTATTCATCCCCCTGAAATGCAGGAACCACATCTTAATAATCCCTGACAGATGGTCATTAAGACTGCACCTGGGACTTCCTTCTGCATGCAAAGCATTGCATCTGAGGCCTTCTGCATGTGAAGCAACTGCTCTGCCACTGAGCTTCGCTCCCTCAAAGCAAAGCCTAACTTTGTCCATTGGCCCCCACTTTTTGAAAAAGGTACGCATTGTAAAGACACCGGACCACCCCATACCCACTGGCATTTCTCCGAATAGAGACGTCCTATTCAACAGTAGGGTTTCTGGAATATGTCTGGAATTTCTCAGACACTGAAATTAAAATACTTTATTGTCACTTGTACAACTTGTATACAGTGAGATTACACGAGCACCCCCCATTCAGCTCTCTTAGTCTTAATTCTCCTCGTTTACTGACACACACACACCAAACCCGAAAGTCAGTTGCCCTGTTATCTTTCCATTCAGCAGCCTAATAGCCCATGGATAGAAGCTGTTCTTTACCCTGTTGGTGCGACTAACCATGCTTCTATATGTTTTGCCTGAGGGCAGGAGATCAAGAAAATGCCAGCCAGGGTGTGAATCACCCCTGAGAATTTTCCTCACTCTCCTGAGGCAACATTCTTCCGCTATTTCATCCAACGAATTCACGGGACAGCCCACAATATCTTGTGCTGTATTCACCACCCTCTGTAGGCACTTCCTATCGGTTGATGTCAAACCAGCATACCACACCGTGATGCAGTATGAAAGGACACTTTCTATTGTGGATTGGTAGAAGGAGATCATCAAATGTTGATTGACATACCCAGGATACTGTAGTTCGAAGCAGTGGATGGGTGAAAATCGGCAAAATGTCCCATGTCGGCGGTGCCATTTTTGCTAAAATATAGCTCAAAATAGCTCAAAAACTGCATTATTATTATTATTGCAAAATATGTTCAAAAACTTTGGGCAAAACTAAAGAAAAAGCTGGACTGCTTTTGTGTCCGGATTTTCCCTTTTTGAAATATGGCCACCTAATCAACATCATCATCTTCCAACATATATAAAAACATAATAAAGCATTAAACAGCTTTGCTTTACAGGGCTGCCTTGCAGATGTTACTTATTTCTTTGGTTCAGGGATCACATAACTCCCTTCAAAATTTATCCAATGGATATAGGGACGTCATATGGAAAACATGGACATTCCGGGATTAAATCAGAAACCAGGATGGCTTCTGTAAACCCAGGAGTGTCCCTGGAAAACAAGGACGGAGGGTCTGGGCACCCTTTAATATTATATTGGTATTGGTATCTGAAGAAGTGTGCATGCACACGAAAGCTCATACCAAGAACTAACTTAGTTGGTCTTTAAGGTGCTACTAGAAGGAATTTTTTTGTTTTAATATTATTGCACGTTGCTGCTCTGAACCCCTTCCACCCTCTTCCCCCCCGGGGGGGGGCTTTTCAGAAATAGGGTGTGCGTTTCCCCTTTCGCTGCCGGGAATTGAACCCGCGACTGTCTCACCAACTAAATGGCAATATAGAGCTTCTCGGTCACCCTAGGAAAACAGGTCTTCCCCGGAATTGGGGAGGGCATTTCTGTTTGCAGGGAGGGGGAGGCGGATCTCCTGCCCCTCCCCCTCCCTCTGGGTCAATGAGCTGGGCTTCCTAGAGAGGCAGGAAGCTATTTTTCTGTGGGGGGGGGGAGAAGCAATTTGGAGGGGAGGGGTCTCCATCCTCATTCCCGGAAGACTTGGAGAAGAGGAGAAAAAGGTGCCGCATTTTGGGGGGGGTTATTTGGGGAGAGTGGTGGGAGAAGGATTTGCTTTCCCTCTCCCTGAATCTACAAACAGGGCGACTGCGAAAGGAGGCGGGAGGATTGCGGGGGGGGGGTGCGCAAAGAAAGCAGGGAGGCGCTCCGCCCTTTCCATGTGAGAATCGGGGGGGGGGGCTGGAGGACGGATATCCTGTTGCAAAGTGGGGTCCCCCTCCCCCAACAGGGTTTGCATTGCAAGATCTTCTCTGAAGCGCAGAGATCGAGCCAGGCTCCCATGGTGGGGGGGGGGACGACTGTGGGCGGGGGCGAAGATACTTGAGACGATCCACAAAAGGGCGCCCCCCCAAGTGCAACTTAACTACAAAGGGATTTGCAGCCCCACCCTGTTCATGTTGACTCAGAAGTCAGTCCTTCTCCGTTCAAAGGGGGGGGGGCAGCCCCATTCCACCTCGTGATGCTCCTCTCTGCTTAACACCCTCCATCTCCCTTCTCACTCCTGCCCCCCATCGCTCCCCCCTGGCTCTGCCTCCTGCGTCAGGGAGCCGGTCTGGGCGGGAGGGGGGGCTTTGCTCCTCCAGGACCCTGATCTGCTCCCCCCCCCCGAAATCTGCTGCCGAAGCCCCTGCTTCAGTGGGTCGGAGATCGGGAGGGCAAGCAGGGGAGAGGAAGTGGAAGCAGCTGGAGAACAGAGTCGCCTCTGGATTGGGGGAGAGGGAGGAGATTTTGAGTTGGGTGGGGGGTGAGAGATGGACAGTGTCAAGGGAAATCGGCCTCCGGGGCTTCCTGAGTAAGAAAGAGGCTGATGTGAGAAGGAAGGGGGAGCCCCCCCCATGCTCCCCTTTCAGAAATCCTAGTCGGGCCAGCTGCTTTGGCACAAAGGAAAGAGCCATGTTGGGGGTGCAGTTGGGGAGGGTTTGCTGTGCTGCTTTTGTGCCCCAAAACCGAAGGGAAGAGGCACATTTTTCATTTCCTGAAGCATGAAAAAGCACCTTGTCAGTTTTCCTCCTCCTTAGCAAGTGAAATGGGTCCATGGATGACAGCATTTGAAACTAATCCAGGTCTCAGGAGCCATTTAAAAAGCTTCAAGTCCAGCTGGAGGAATTAAAGAAATGCCCCCTCCCCAGCTGGACTTAGGGAAAAGGGGGAGGGGGGAAAACTGATTACCACCACCCCCAGCAGATTTTGAGGCTCTTTCTTTCTGGGACTTTTTCTGCCGTTTCTGGCAGCCTCACTCCTGCCTGGCCTTGTCCCCATCCAGGTTGCAGGAGGGTCTTCTAACACTATAGGTCTTCTAAAGCCCACCACCTGGGCAATGCTCACACAAGAAACCTGCAAGGTGGGCCAGGATGACAGCCAGTTTAGTGTTTGGAACAAGGGTGGAGTCCATTCTCCAGCCTGAGGGCCACATTCGCTCCTGAGCAACCTTCTAGGGGCCACTTTCCATTGATGGTCAGGGCCAGAGGACAGAGTTGGTGGAGCTATGGAGGTGACTGAGCTTTGTCCAGGGAATGCCGGCCTTCCAGGGATTTTTTCAAGCCACACAAAAGCCGCCCAGGAAGCAGCTGGGAAGCGTTGGAAAGAGGGTGTGGCACTGGGGAAATTCCTGAGGGCCAGAGAGAGAAAGAGGGGGGACTTAAGGGCCAATTTAGCCCCAGGGTCGGAGGTTCCACACCCTGCAATTCAGGTGCTGGGCTTAGACCAGGGAGACCCAGTCTCACATCCCCATGCTCAGGGAGGATGCCCCTGATTATTTCTCCTCCTGTCCTTCCTCACAGTGTAGGGAAGATAAAAGGGTACACACACACACACACACAGGTTCCTAAGAGGAAGGACTAGGGGGCCATAAGCCACTAAACTTTGTATTTCTGTCTCCTAAACTACAATCCATGTTAGGGCATAGAGTGCTCTAAATATTTCCATCTGCTCCCCTTGGAGGGAGCTTCTGCACCCTGGTTTGTTGGTTTTCTTCCAACTGCAGATTTAGGAGTTTCTCTTATTTTCTTTACAGTATTCTAAACGTATCAAAGGGTCAGAAACTGGTTTCCTAGATGGTTGTTTGGAGGAAAAGAAAAGCGAGGTCTGCAGAGGTACTGACCGTAATGCTTTCTGTGTAGCTCCATTAAGAGTTTGGGATTTGATCCTAGAACTTTACAATCCGAAGCTGAAGGTTCCCTAAAGACTGGGACAGCTTACAGTATTATAAAGTTCCTGTAGAAAGGATTACATCCTTCCAGTTCCCCGCCTTGCACTTCCTGGAACGAACCCACAGGAGATCTGGTCCCTGGTTTACTTCCTTTAGAATATATATATATATATATATATATATATATATATATATATATATAATATATGCAGGTTTTGGTGTCCTCGGGTGTCTTCCCGTGTAAAAGTTGGGGTGTCTAGGCGACGTTTCGACGAGGTCTCACTCGTCATCTTCAGGCTGGTGCTTTCGGCTTCTTGTTACTGGAACAGAGCAGGATCTCAGTGTTTGAGTTCCTATAAATACTGTTGAGGGGGTGTGGTGTATAGCCTCCAATGTTCTGGGCAGAGAGGAAGTTCCCAGGCTAGTGTGCCTATTCTTCTTTTGTTCCTTAATTACTTGAGGGATATCTTGAGTGATTTCTTGAGTGATATTCTGAGTACCATTTAGGTGGGTCATTAGGTGTGGATTAGTTGCTCAAGCCTTCGTGTCTTGACCTCTTGAACTTTGTGAAAAGTTTTTCTGAGAAGATGGCTGTACTGCACTTAGTTGTGCTCTGGCTTGGCTTCGGGTATAGGGGCGAGCTGTGGTTTTGTGCCCTGTGCCAGTCAGATCTGTGTAGGGATTGCAGGGGGTGCAGCATCCGGAGGTGCCACCCTGGTTTGGCTACTGGATGGTGTCTGTAATTTATCTGTGGAGAGGGTCTGGGTTTGGGTCTGGTGTGGTTGATTGGTGATGGCGTTCTGTGTGCCTCTGGATCTGGTGTCGGTTTTTGTGGGGAGGGCTAATTTCCAGATGTCTGGCAGGCGGGACGTGTCGTCACGCTTGTTCATGTTGTGAGGGTGTTTCTCTATCTCGATGTCTTCCATGATTATTCTCTTGTGGTGATGTTCCATGTTAAAGAGCAATTTGGAATCTGCAAAATTGATTTCGTGTCCTGTTTCTTTCATGTGTTGGAAAAGAAAGGAAGTTTTTTCTTCTTTTTTGACGGCATTCTTGTGTTCTGCGATACGTGCATTTATTCGTCTGTTTGTTTGTCCAATGTACGTGGCTGGGCAGGCTTTGCAGGGTATTTCATAGACCCCTTGGTTTTCCAACTGGATTTTATCTTTGGGGTTTCTGAGGATATTGGCTATTTTTTGGTTGGTGCAAAAGGCTGTTTTGATATTGTGTTTATGGAGGATTTTGCTAATTTTATCTGTAGTGCCCTTGATATAAGGAAGGAGGGCCATGCCATTGTTTTCTTCTGTGTCTTGGTTTTTGGGGGGTGTTTCTTTTTGGATTAGCTTCGTAACCCTGTTTTGCTGGTATCCATTGGCGATTAACACATTTGAGAGATTCTGTAACTCAGTTGTCAAGTGGTCTTTGTCAGCCAGGCGTTTGGTTCTGGAGATGAGAGTCTTTTATATATAAAATATATATAAAATATTATATATATAAAATAGTGTGTGTGTGTGTGTATACACACACACACACCCCATAAAAATGCATGTCAACCAAACCTATAATCCTGGCCTTCAAGGTTTAATATATCTGCGTTTTCCAATATTATCCATTCTCTAAGCCAGCATAAGCGGGACGCCTCATAATATAATATAATCGAAAATCTGGCAGGGAGAAGCCGCCCCTATCTTTGGTATTCGTTAGTAATTTCTATTTCATTGTGAATATTAATGCTATCTCTGTGTGTCCCACCCTAAATAAATCTGCCTTTCTGTAAACTGCCCTTAGAGCTCAGGGTATAGGACAGTATATAGATTCTAATAATAATAATAATAATAATTTTTGCATTGTTATCCCTATGTTGAAGTGCATCATGGGAACAGCTGAGAGAGTCCCAGAAGTGCCCGGTTTATGATTCCTCCTCCTCCTCCGTCTTTTCCACTGGCAACGCAATGGTCTCCGATACACCTTCTGAACGGCCTCTTCTTAGAGGTGGAGTGGAAAGAGGAGCCAGGCAGCTTCCTCAGGTAGGGAAAGAGCAACGGGAGCAGGGAGGAGGGAAGAGACACAGATGGGACCACCCAACCTCCCTCTGTGTTGAGTGGGGATGATGGGGATCTAAGAGAAGCTCTGTCTTCTTCCTCTTCTTCTTCCAGGCCCTCTTGACCTTTGAGGAGGTGGCTGTGTTTTTCACGGAGGAGGAGTGGGCTCTGCTGGATCCAGGCCAAAGAGCTCTGCACAAGGAAGTCATGGAGGAGAATTATGAGATGGTGGCCTCTCTAGGTAAGGGCAGATTTTTATCTCTCTTGGCTGTTACACGTTGGAGGTGTGAATCTGCTGTTTGAACCATTTATTAATGCTGTGTCTTCTACTTTGGTGACCCCTCGTAGCCGAGTAAGATTGTCATCCATGAACACGGTCTTAATGGTGTGTCCGTAAGGGACTGTAGAGTCTAATTCTGGATCCATACATCCTTCCACAGTGGGGACATAGGTTTCCAGGCTGGAGTTAATTACAGTGAGGGTTTGCCAAACATGCTTTCCTCTTAGTTTGTTTGTCCCTTTCGTCCGGAGTTTGTGTTTCTTTAAAAGTCCATTACACCTTTGGTAAAGGATATTCTCCTACTGGAGCACTCGCAGGCCAGTGTTTCCCGATTTTCTGTGCTTATACTGCATTTCTTTAGATTTGGCTTGAGAGCGTCTTTAAACCTCTTTCATTGTCCTCCGGTGTTTGTCTTTCCATTGTAAAATTGCGAATAGAGTAATTGCTTTGGAAGATGATAATCAGGCATCCGAACAACATGACCAGCCCACCGAAGATGATGTTGAAGTTTATAGCAACTCTGTACTTTTGTCAGTAGGCAACTGTTTATAAGCTGATATTGTGGTATGAACACCCCCCCCCCCGAAAAAACCCTATGTAAAATCTACAAAGAGAGTCACAGGCATGAGCCTTCCTGGTCTATGTTATTTATTAGCTTTTAATGGGCCACCAATGGGCCACATATGACATAAACAACATTTCTGCTTTACTTATTCCAAATAGCAGAGACTCTGATACTCATGTCTGAGCTCATCTTCTCACTTGGAACAGAAAAATACAGGGATGTTGTCCTGGACCAATTGAGAGGTACATAGTTCCACTTTGCTGTGAGGCTGTACCTTTGTATGTCTCCTTTCAGTGTATAGGAATATAAAAAGATCCCTTTTGGATCAGAACGAGGGCCCATCTTTTCCAGCATCCTGATGCAGGTTTAGGTGATGTGAACAGTTTCCTGGAATGTATCAGCCAGATATTACAGATGAGGGAGGAAGGAGAAAACTGTATACAGAGGCATAGCATTTTCACAGGAGGGGAAAGATGGAGAAAGTGTGTACGTCCAGAGGTTGCTGCACTACAACTCCCATCAGCCCTTGTCATTGGACTTCTTTAGTTGGGTTGATGGTACTTCGAGTCCAACCACATCTGGAGGGCCATAGATGCCTTACCTCAGCATAGAAGATATCTCTTGGTGCTCAGTGTTACATGGGAGTTGAAGGTAGAACTGGATACTAAGGGTTCTGGAGATTATTTTCAGATTTCCTTTCCTTTCCCAAAAATTTGGTTCATAGGAGAGGGAGGAAGGCTGGAGGTGTTAAAATAAGAGAAAGTACTGATTAGTCTTGCTGTATCTTAAGTTCTCTTGTTGTTTTTCTTGAATACTTAACAGTATCTCTCCCCCCCCCTTTAAACCAGGTGATGGAGAAGGCAATCAGAATTTTGAGGGGCCATCTGTAAAGTACTTCAGCATGAGCGAACACCTTAACACACAACTACAAACTAACGCAGGGGAGAAACCCTTTAAATTTATGGAGTGTGGGAAGAGTTTCATTGAGAGTGGAGCTCTTACAAGACATCAACGAACTCACACAGGGGAGAACCCATTTCAATGTATGGACTGTAGGAAGAGCTTCAGGGATATGGGAAAACTTACAAGACATCAACGAACTCACACAGGCGAGAAACCATTTAAATGTATGGAGTGTGGTAAGGGTTTCATTGGCAGTGGAGCTCTTAAAGTACATCAACGAATTCACACCGGGGAGAAACCATATAAATGTTTGGAGTGTGGAATGAGCTTCTATCATAGGGAATCCCTTAATATGCATCAGATAAATCACACAGGGGAGAAACCATTTAAATGTATGGAGTGTGGGAAGGTTTTCAGTCAAAGGGGAAAACTTACTGTTCATCAACGGACTCACACAGGGGAGAGACCATTTCAATGTATGGAGTGTTTGAAAGGTTTCATTGACAGTGGAACTCTTACAAGACATCAACGAATTCACACCGGGGAGAAACCATATAAATGTGTAGAGTGTGGAATGAGCTTCCGTCATAGGGAAACGCTTAATGGGCATCAAAGAAATCACACAGGGGAGAAACCTTTTCAATGTTTGGAGTGTGGGAAGGTTTTCAGTCAAAGGAGAAAACTTACTGTACATCAACGGAATCACACAGGGGAGAAACCATTTCATTGTATGGAGTGCGGAATGAGCTTCAGTGAAAATGGAAGCCTTACCCAACATCAACGAACTCACACGGGGGAGAAACCATTTAAATGTATGGAATGTGGGAAGGGTTTCAGTCGGTGTTCACACCTTACTATACATCGAAGAACTCACACAGGGGAGAAACCATATAAATGTTTGGAGTGTGGGAAGGGTTTCAGTGAAGGGGGGAGACTCATTGTGCACCGACAAAGTCACACCGGGGAGAAACCATTTAAATGTATGGAGTGTGGGAATTGTTTCATTGAGAGAGGAGCTCTTACAAAACATCAACGAACTCACACAGGCGAGAAACCATTTAAATGTATAGAGTGTGGGAAGGGTTTCATTGAGAGAGGAGCTCTTACAAAACATCAACGAACTCACACAGGTGAGAAACCATTTAAATGTTTGGAATGTGGGAAGAGCTTCTGTCAGACTGGAGCTCTTGCAACACATCTACGAACTCACAAAGGCGAGAAACCATTTAAATGTATGGAGTGCGGAAAGAGTTTCAGTCAGAATGGAAACCTTACTATACATCAACGAACTCACACAGGCGAGAAACCATTTAAATGCTTGGAATGTGGGAAGAGCTTCAGTCAGATTGGAGCTCTTACAACACATCTACGAACTCACACAGGCGAGAAACCATTTAAATGTTTGGAATGTGGGAAGAGCTTCAGTCAGAATGGAGGTCTTGCAACACATCTACGAACTCACACAGGCGAGAAACCATTTAAATGTTTGGAATGTGGGAAGAGATTCAGTTGGAATAGAGTTCTTACAAGACATCAACGAACTCACACGGGAGAAACCATTTAAATCTTTGGAGTGTGGGGAGGGTTTCAGTCAAGGGCAAAACTTACTGTTTGAGGCTGAAAAGGCGTTTCCCATAAGCTCTGTATGAATAAAGTTTCTATGTTAGTATTAAGGGTGTTCTTTCAAAATAGTTGGTTTTGAGTTTCCCAGGGTATCAAACAACAGCATTGATGTAACATTTATATGTAACTAATTAACATTTATATGTAATGAATGACACAATATTAATACTAATGTTCAGATATATAGTTAATTTCTTAAAGAATATATGTGTTTTAGTGAAATGTCTTTATTCAATCATAGGAATAGTCAATCAGGGATTGTCTGTGAGGACCACAAGTGATCTCATGGTATAATTGATGATATATTTAGTATGCTTAATGGTATGAATGGAGAAGTGTCTGAAGTGAGTGGGATCAGATGGCACTATGACTCTGAAGACAAGATAAAGAAATGATTAAATGGAAGATGAAGAATTATTGAGTTAGCCAGTGGACCTGGCGAAAACAGGATGGACAAAAATAATTGGGCGAGAATATGACATAAGCAGGATGACAGCATGTCTGGGTGAAGTAGGGCAACCTGAAAACTAAAAATATGATGAATGAGTAGTGAATGAATGAGTCCTTATTGCTTATTACTTGTTAATCAATAAAGGGTGGTAATCTGAAGAGAATTGTGTCACTTTCTTGAAAACACTGTGATAAAGGTGAAAAGGGACTTAACTCTGTTTTTGTGACAACTGTACATCACACAGGAGAGAAACCATTTAGATGTATGGAGGGTGGAAAAAGCTTCAGTGAAAGAGGGAAACTTACTGTACATCAACGGACTCACACAGGGGAGAAACCATATAAATGTTTGGAGTGTGGGAAGGGTTTCAGTCAAGGGGGAAAACTAACTACATCAACGGCCTCACGCGGGAGAAACCATATAAACCGAGTGTGGAGAGTGCTTCATTTGTAGTAGGAAACTCATTGTGCACTGACAAAGTCACACCGGGAGAAACCATTTAAATGTAAGAATTGTGGGAAGCGCTTCACTGAGGGTAGAAAACTTACAAGACATCTACAAACTCATACAGGGGAGAAACCATTTAAATGTATGGATTGTGTGAAGGGATTCATTCAGAGTGGAACTCTTACAAGACATCAACAAACTCGCATGGGTGAGAAACCATTTAAATGAATGGAGTGTGGGAAGTGCTTCAATTATAACAGAGTTATTAATAAACACCTATGGGCTCTCACAGGGAAGAACCCATTTAGTTTTATGGAGTGTGCCAAGTTCACTTTGTCCCTCACATCAACAAACTCGTATATGGAAAAATCCATTGTAAATGCATGGAGTGTGTTTGATGTTCTGGTGTTTGTGTGAAAGGTTGTACATATATGTATTAAAGCAATGAAGGTAATGTCTCCTAATAGCAAGTATAACGAAAGAGATAATGTACCATTAGGTGTTTGTAGAACATAACTCTAGAGCAGTGTTTCCCAACCACTGTTCCGCGGCACACTAGTGTGCCGCGAGATGTTGCCTGGTGTGCCGCGGGAAAAATTAAAAAATTGAAAGATTTTTTTTTAAAGTCAAATTTTCGATTGGGGCGCCGTCACTAGATGACCCCTGGGGTTCCCTCCCTCCCTCCCGCTCTGCGCCTCCCTCCTCCTCCTCCTCCGGGGAGGCCCTTCCTGGCTCTCGGCCAAGGCTTGGCGGCTGCCACTCACTCGCTCGCCCACCCGTCCCTCCATCCCTGCACCCGGCCTCTCCCCCTCCGTCCCCGGCGCGGGGGCTGCCGGGATCCGTAGTACCCTCGCCCTTGGGCTCCGCGCCCGCGCGGGGTGCGTGAACTACGTTTCCCAGCGTGGCCTGGCGGGCCGGGCGTTTTGTTTGAAGCGCTCTTCTCCCGGCCATGGAATGAGCGCGGCGGCGGCGGCCGGGCGGGCAGGGGCTCTTCCGCGCAGACCCCGCGCAGCCTGCCTGTGCCCCCGCGGAGATCGGGCGGCAGGATGGAGGCCGGGGATCCCCGCGGAGCGGCGGAGGCTGCCCCCCAGGTAGGGCTGCGTCGGGGGGGGGGTTTATTTTTGCAATGCTGCATCCTCGCCGGAGGGGACGCATCGGACCGCGGGGAGACCCCTTGGCGGGCGTGCAAGGCAATGCATGCGTGCAGGCGTTGCATGGAGTGCAGTGCAATGCAATGGCAACGCGGCGCCCTGCATGCATGCATGCAACTTCCACCGGCGCTCCGGACTTGGCAGGTGAGGGGGGTCCCCAGTGGGCGGCAGAGAGAGCCGGGAGGGCGAAGGGGAGCCAGGGGGGGAGCAGCGCTGCTCCCCGAGCCGAGCCCGGGGGAAACTTCGGCGTCGTTGCGCTGGGTGTTGGAAGCGGAGGCTGGCGGGGGCCCCTCACCTGCAAAACCTGGTCGCCTCTCATATATTTTGTGCATTGCATTCATCGCCCACTTTCTCCTCCAAGGAGCTCCCGGGGGCGCGCGTGGTTCTCCCCGTGTTATCCTCGCAACAACAGCCCTGCGAGGTGGGTCAGGCGAGTGGCCCAAGGGAGCACCCAGGGATTGTCCTGGCCAGGTGGGGTGATTTGAACCCTGCTCTCTGCCCGGTCTTCGTCCTCATTTAGCCCCCATATGTGCATGACTGTGCATGACTGAGGTTTTCCCCCCTCGTCTTGGCTATGGTGTGAGTCTGTGCTGTTAATTAATGGGGTTCTGCCTTCAGAGATGAGCCAGCCCTCAAGGAGGTGATTATGTAATTTGCTAGCAATTCATGTCCCTCCCGGCGTGACGCTGCGCGCTGACGTCACGGGGCTGTAATGGTGGTGTGCCTCGAGATTTTTTTCATGAAACAAGTGTGCCTTTGCCCAAAAAAGGTTGGGAAACACTGCTCTAGAGGGGTCATTTTGAGTGAACATGTGCTGAGAGTCACTTGATATCTGATCTTTGGCAGAGAGAGTTGGGAATGGAGAGTTGTGAAAAGTGGAGCACGCAGGATTGGCTCTGGAATCATAGAAGTGTGGAGCTGAAAGGGACTCCAGGGTCTTCTAGTCCAATTCCCTGTTATAAGAACAGCAGCACAAAACCCATTTTTCTAATTGCAATAAAGGAACAATGAAAACACAGAAATACTGGAAAGTAATCTTCAAAGCACCCTATGTTGTTTATATTTTATGGCGGCACTCGTGGGGAGGGGTCTGGGCACCCTTTAATATTATTGTAAGTTGCTGCTCTGAACCCCTTCCACCCTCTTTTCCGGGGGGGGGGGGCTTTTCAGAAGTAAGGTGTGCGTTACCTCTTTCGCTGCCAGGGATTAAACCCGTGACCATCTCACCAAATAAATGGCAGTATAGAGCTTCTCTGCCACCCTAGGAAAACAGGTCTTCCCCGGAATTAGGACGGATAGATTGTTCAGTGATTTTGGAGGTCAGATAAAAAAAACTTCCCCCCAGAAGACATGGACCACGGTACACCCCCACCAAACACAGTACACCCCCACCAAATGTGAAATAGACCTTCTGCATGCAAAGCAACTGCTCTACCACTGAGCTGCAACCCGCCCCCCCCCCCCAATAACAAAGCCTAACTTTCTCCATCAGCTCCTGGTTTTTAGAAAAGGTACCCATTGACACTGGACCAGCCTTTAGGGTTGTCATAAGTTACGGCTCTAAACCCCTTCCCGGGGGGGGGCTTTTCAGGAATGGGGGTTCGCCTTTCGCTACCGCTCGCAGGAACTGAAGGCATTGATTTCTCACTAAATACTGTAAAAGGGAATATACTGTACAGTAGATATTGCTGGCTGGGAAGGGAATTTCTCTTTGCAGGGAGCGGGAGGCGGATCTCCTGCCACTCATCCCTCCCTCTGGGCCAATGAGCTCCGTTTCCTAGAGAGGCAGGAAGTGGGGGTTTTTTTGGGGGGAGGAGTAGAAGCAAAGTTGGAGGGGGAGGGGTCTCCATGCACATCCCCTGAAGAGAAAGAGGCCCGCAGAGGAGGATGAAGAGGTGCCACGTATTTTGGGGGGCGCGGGGGGGGGCGCGATTTGGGGTTGGGGGTCGGCTGCAGAATTTGCATTTCCTCCCCCTGAATCTATAAACAGAGCAGCTGGGAAAGGAGAGGGGGGGAGGGGAGAGCAGGGAAGGGCTCCCCACTTTCCCTCTTAGAATCAGTAGGGGGGGGCGTGATGCAGGCCATCCTGTTGCAAAGTGGGGTCCCCCCCAAACAGGGTTTGCATTGCAAGATCCTTTTTGAAGCGCAGAGATCCAGGCAGCCGCCCATGGTGGGGGGAGGGGGGGCGAAGACACTTGAGACGAACCACAAAAGGGCCCCCACCCCACAGTGCAACTTAACTACAAAGGGATTTGCAGCCCCACCCTCTGCATGTTGACTCACAGGTCAGTCCTCCTCCATTCAAAGGGGGGGGGGCAGCCCCATTCCACCTAGTGATGCTTCTCTCTGTTTAACACCCTCCATCTCCCTTCTCACTGCTGCCCCACTCCTTCCCCCCCATCGCTCCCCCCAGGCTGTGCCTCCTGCGTCAGGGAGCCGGTCTGGGCGGGAGGGGAGGGGTGAGCTCCTCCAGGACCCTGATCTGCTCCCCCCTCCGAAATCTCCTGCTGAAGCCCCTGCCTCAGTGGGGCGGAGATGGGGGGGGGGCAAGCAGGGGAGAGGAAGTGGAAGCAGCTGGAGAACAGAGTCACCTCTGGATTAGGAGAGAGGGGGGAGATTTTGAGTTGGGTGGGGGGTGAGAGGTGGACAGTTCCCTTGACATTGGCCTCCGGAGCTTCCTGAGTAAGATAGAGGCTTATGTGAGAAGGAAGCAAAAGGAAACAAGGATTTGCTTCTTGGGAAGGGGGAGGCCCCCCAGCCCCCCTTTCAGAAATCCTAGTCTGGCTGGCTGAGGTTGCTTTGGCACAAAGGAAAGAGCCTTGTTGGGTTTCCCATGTTGGGGGTGCATTTGGGGAGGGGTCTGCTGTGCTGCTTTTGTGCCCCAAAACTGGAGGAAAGAGGCATGGCCTCATCCCCATCTAGGTTACCAGGAGGGTCTTCTATAGGTGTTCTAAAGCCCACCACCTGGGCGATGCTCACACCAAGAACCCTGCAAGGTGGGCCAGGATTACTGCCAGTTTAGTGTTTGGAACAGAGACCTTTCTCCAGCCTGAGGGCCACATTCGCTCCTGAGCAGCCTTCCAGGGTCCACTTTCCATTGATGGGCAGGGCCAGAGGACAGAATTGGTGGAGCTATGGGGCTGACTCTGAGCTTTGTCCAGGGGATACCTGCCTTCCAGGGATTTTTTCCAACCACACAAAAAACCCCAGGAGGCAGCTGGGAAGCCTTGGAAAGAGGGTGTGGCGCTGGGGAAATTCCTGAGGGCCAGAGAGAGAAAGAGGGGGTACTTGAAGGCCAATTTAGCCCCAGGGTCTGAGGCTCCACACCCTGCAGTTCAGGTGCTGGGCTTTGACCAGGGAGACCCAGTCTCACATCCCCATGCTCCGGGAGGATGCCTCATCCTGTATTTTCTCACTGTATAGGGAAGATAAAAGGTACACACACACACACACACACACACACACACACACACGTTCCTAAGCGGAAGGACTAGGGGGCCATAAGCCACTAAACTTTGTATTTCTGTCACCTAAACTACAATCTGAAGTGACAGACAATCTGAAGTGGAGCCTCCTTTTATTGACGCAAATATGCAAACCAGGCAGATACATTTTGGGCTGTGACCTTTACACATCTTCCGATCCCGAGATCGTGGGGTGGTACAAGGTTATTTTGGCACCTGTTTTCACCGCGCAGTGTATGACGAAGGAGACAAAAGGTCTCAGAGACAAAGGTTATAGACAGGACACTGCAGACTACTGAGACCGCAAAAGGTTAGACAGAGGGAACGATGTTCAGACAGCTGTGGCTTGTCGGGGGGGGGGAGTGTGCCCCGCACCCCAAGGTCATGCGTGCAGGCAGACTATGGCTGCCTGCTGGTGGGGAGTGTTCTCCCTCCGGACCCCACTCCGCAATCATCCCTACAAGAATCCATGTTAGCGCATAGAGTGCTCTAAATATTTCATCTGCTCCCTTTGGAGGGAGCTTCTGCACCCTGGTGCCCTCCAGATGTTGCTTTTCTTCCAACTGCAGCTTTAGGAGTTTCCCTTATTTTCTATACAGTATTCTAAATGTATCAAAGGGTCAGAAACTGGTTTCCTGGATGGCTGTTCGGGGGAAAGGAAAAGCGAGGTCTGCAGAGGTACCGACCATAATGCTTTCTGCGAAGCTTCATTAAGAGTTTGGGATTTGATCCTAGAAGTTTACAATCCGAAGCTGAAGGTTCCCTAAAGAATGAGGCAGCTTATAGTATTATAAAGTCCCTGTAGAAAGGATTACATCCTTCCAGTTCCCCACCTTGTACTTCCTGGAAGGGACCCACAGGAGATCTGGTCCCTGGTTTACTTCCTTTAGTCTATATATATATATATATATATATATATATATATAATCGTGTGTATATATATATTTATACACCCCCCCATAAAAATGCATGTCAACCAAACCTATTCTCCTGACCTTCAAGGTCTAATATATCTGCGTTTTCCAATATTATCCATTCTCTGAGCCAGCAATAAGCAGGACACCTCACAATATAATATAATCGTAAATCTGGCAGGGAAAAGCCGCCCCTATCTTTGGTATCCGTTAGTAATTTATATTTCATTGTGAATATTAATGCTGCCTGTGTAAATGTGTCCCACCCTAATTAAACCTGCCTTTCTGTAAACTGCCCTGAGACCTCAGGGTATAGGGTATAGATTCTAATAATAATAATAATACCTAATTTTTGCATTGTTATCCCTGTGTTGAAGTGCATCGTGGGAACAGCTGAGAGAGTCCCAGAAGTGGCCCGGTTTATGATTCCTCCTCCTCCTCCGTCTTTTCCACTGGCAACGCAATGATCTCCGATACACCCTCTGAACGGTCTCTTAAAGATGGAGTGGAAAGAGGAGCCAGGCACCTTCCTCAGGTAGGGAAAGAGCAACGGGAGCAGGGAGGAGGGAAGAGGCATAGATGGGACCACCCAACCTCCCTCTGTGTTGAGTGGGGATGATGGGGATCTAAAAGCAGCTCTGTCTTCTTCCTCTTCTTCTTCCAGGCCCTCTTGACCTTTGAGGAGGTGGCTGTGTTTTTCACGGAGGAGGAGTGGGCTCTGCTGGATCCTGGCCAAAGAGCTCTGCACAAGGAAGTCATGGAGGAGAATTATGAGATGGTGGCCTCTTTAGGTAAGGGCAGATTTTTATCTCTCTTGGCTGTTAGACGTTGGATACTTAACAGTATCTCTCCCCCCCCCTTTAAACCAGGTGATGGAGAAGGCAATCAGAATTTTGAGGGGCCATCTGGAAAGTACTTCACCGTGAGTGAACACCTTAGCACACAACTACAAACGAACGCAGGGGAGAAACCATTTCAATGTATGGACTGTAGGAAGAGCTTCAGGGATATGGGAAATCTTACAAGACATCAACGAATTCACACCGGGGAGAAACCATATAAATGTGTGGAGTGTGGAATGAGCTTCTATCATAGGGAATCCTTTAATATGCATCAGATAAATCACACAGGGGAGAAACCATTTAAATGTATGGAGTGTGGGAAGGTTTTCAGTCAAAGGGGAAAACTTACTGTTCATCAACGGACTCACACAGGGGAGAGACCATTTCAATGTATGGAGTGTGGGAAGGGTTTCATTGACAGTGGAACTCTTACAAGACATCAACGAATTCATACTGGCGAGAAACTGTTTAAATGTTTGGAGTGTGGAATGAGCTTCCGTCATAGGGAAACGCTTAATGGGCATCAACGGAATCACACAGGGGAGAAACCATTTTATTGTGTGGAGTGCGGAATGAGCTTCAGTGAAAATGGAAGCCTTACCCAACATCAACGAACTCACACAGGCGAGAAACCATTTAAATGTATGGAGTGTGGGAAGGGTTTCAGTTGGTGTTCACACCTTACTATACATCAACGAACTCACACAGGTGAGAAACCATTTAAATGTTTCGAGTGCGGAAGGAGTTTCAGTCAGAATGGAAAACTTACTATACATCAACGAACTCACACAGGTGAGAAACCATTTAAATGCTTGGAATGTGGGAAGAGCTTCAGTCAGAATGGAGCTCTTGCAACACATCTACAAACTCACAAAGGCGAAAAACCATTTAAATGTATGGAGTGCGGAAGGAGTTTTGGTCAGAATGGAAACCTTACTATACATCAACGAACTCACACAGGCGAGAAACCATTTAAATGCTTGGAATGTGGGAAGAGCTTCAGTCAGAATGGAGCTCTTACAACACATCTACGAACTCACACAGGTGAGAAACCATTTAAATGTTTGGAATGTGGGAAGAGCTTCTGTCAGAATGGAGCTCTTGCAACACATCTACGAACTCACAAAGGCGAGAAACCATTTGAATGTATGGAGTGTGGGAAGGGTTTCATTGAGAGAGGAGCTCTTACAAAACATCAACGAACTCACACAGGCGAGAAACCATTTAAATGTTTGGAATGTGGGAAGAGCTTCTGTCGGACTGGAGCTCTTGCAACACATCTACAAACTCACAAAGGCGAAAAACCATTTAAATGTATGGAGTGCGGAAGGAGTTTTGGTCAGAATGGAAACCTTACTATACATCAACGAACTCACACAGGCGAGAAACCATTTAAATGCTTGGAATGTGGGAAGAGCTTCAGTCAGAATGGAGCTCTTACAAGACATCTACGAACTCACACAGGTGAGAAACCATTTAAATGTTTGGTATGTGGGAAGAGCTTCTGTCAGAATGGAGCTCTTGCAACACATCTACGAACTCACAAAGGCGAGAAACCATTTAAATGTATAGAGTGTGGGAAGGGTTTCAGTGATAGAGGAGCTCTTACAAAACATCTAATAAGTCACACAGGTAAGAAACCATTTAAATGTATGGAATGTGGGAAAGGTTTCAGTTGGTGTTCACAGCTTACTATACATCGAAGAACTCACACCGGGGAGAAACCATTTGAATGTATGGAGTGTGGGAAGGGTTTCATTGAGAGAGGAGCTCTTACTATACATCAACGAACTCACACAGGCGAGAAACCATTTAAATGTTTGGAATGTGGGAAGAGCTTCAATCAGAATGGAGCTCTTACAGCACATCTACGAACTCACACAGGTGAGACACCATTTAAATGTTTGGAATGTGGGAAGAGCTTCAGTCAGAATGGAGCTCTTACAGCACATCTACGAACTCACACAGGTGAGAAACCATTTAAATGCTTGGAATGTGGGAAGAGCTTCAGTCAGAATGGAGCTCTTACAACACATCTACGAACTCACACGGGAGAAGCCATTTAAATCTTTGGAGTGTGGGGAGGGTTTCAGTCAAGGGCAAAACTTACTGTTTGAGGCTGAAAAGGCGTTTCCCATAAGCTCTGTATGAATAAAGTTTCTATGTTAGTATTAAGGGTGTTCTTTCAAAATAGTTGGTTTTGAGTTTCCCAGGGTATCAAACAACAGCATTGATGTAACGTTTATATGTAACTAATGTAACATTTATATGTAATGAATGACACAATATTAATACTAATGTTCAGATATATAGTTAATTTCTTAAAGAATATATGTGGTTTAGTGAAATGTCTTTATTAAATCATAGGAATAGTCAATCAGGGATTGTCTGTGAGGACCACAAGTGATCTCATGGTATAATTGATGATATATTTAGTATGCTTAATGGTATGAATGGAGAAGTGTCTGAAGTGAGTGGGATCAGATGGCAGTATGACTCTGAAGACAAGATAAAGAAATGATTAAATGGAAGATGAAGAATTATTGAGTTAGCCAGTGGACCTGGCGAAATCAGGATGGACAAAAATAATTGGGCGAAAATATGACATAAGCAGGATGACAGCATGTCTGGATGAAGTAGGACAATCTGAAAACTAAAAATATGATTGATGAATGAGTGATGAATGAATGAGTCCTTATTGCTTATTACTTGTTAATCAATAAAGATTGGTAATCTGAAGAGAATTGTATCATTTTGTTTTTCTTGAAAACACTATGATAAAGGTGAAAAGGGACTTAACTGTTTTCGTGACAACTGTACATCAACGGACTCACACAGGAGAAACCATATAAATGTTTGGAGTGTGGGAAGGGTTTCAGTCAAGGGCGAAAACTTACTGTACATCAACGGCCTCACGCGGGAGAAACCATATAAATGGAGTGTGGAGAGTGCTTCATTTGTAGTAGGAAACTCAATGTGTACTGGCAAAGTCACACCGGGAGAAACCATTTAAATGTAAGAATTGTGGGAAGGGCTTCAGTGAAGGTAGAAAACTTACAAGACATCTACAAACTCATACAGGGGAGAAACCATTTAAATGTATGGATTGTTCGAAGAGTTTCTTTCAGAGTGGATCTCTTACAAGACATCAACAAACTCACATGGGTGAGAAACCATTTAAATGAATGGAGTGTGGGAAGTACTTCAATTATAACAGAGTTATTAATAAACACCTATGGGCTCTCACAGGGAAGAACCCATTTAGTTTTATGGAGTGTGCCAAGTTTTCCCCACAGAGTTCACTTTGTCCCTCATATCAACAAACTCATATAGGGAAAAATCCATTGTAAATGCATGGAGTGTATTTGATGTTCTGGTGTTTGTATGGAAAGTTGTACATATATGTATTAAAGCAATGAAGGTAATGTCTCATAATAGTAAGTATAATGAAAGATACAATGTACTGTTAGGGATGTGTAGAATGTGACCCTGGAGTTCTCATTGTGAGTGAATGTGCTGAGAGTCCATTCATATTTGGTCTTTGGCAGAGAGAGTTGGGAATGGAGAGTTGTGAAAAGTGGAGCACGACAGTGGTGTTTAGGAAGCAGGATTGGCTCTGGAATCATAGAAGTGTGGAGCTGAAAGGGACTCCAGGGTCTTCTAGTCCAACTCCTTGTTATAAGAACAGCAGCACAAAACCCATTTTTATAATTGCAATAAAGGAACAATGAAAACACAGAAAGACTGGAAAGTAATCTTTAAAGCGCCCTATGTTTATATTTTATGAATTCATTGTTTTACAATACCTTCTCGTTCATGGCTACATTAATGGCAAAGTGGATAAAATCCCTGGTGGCAGCCGGAATAAAGGAGGTGCCGCGGGGAAGAACAAATCTGGGGAGGGAAGGTGGCAAAGGGGAATGTGGGCACTGTCAGTGGTTTCAGGAGGACCGCCTGAGGGAAGCCTGAATGTGGGATATAAAGCTGTCAGTCAAGTCCAACATTCTGAGAGGACTAAGTGCCTCTATGCGGCAGGCAGTTTTGTCCGTTGGACAGTTGCTGCAAGAAATGTTAACTGGTAACTGCTCAGATACAGTCTTCTCATGACTCACTACTATCTAGTATATAGTTTATCTGTTATGTAACTGAAGACTGCCTTCAGGAACAACTCTATCAACCTGAATGAATCTGATAGTAAAGCAGTTTATGTTAATATGATTCAGATTCATGTGTGCTTTCTTTAAGAGGGACAGAAAGGGATTATGAACCAGGAAGGTATAATTATAGATAGGACTCAAACGAGTTAGCAACCCGCTTGTCCCTGCATAAACTCAAACAGGGGCTCGTTTAAACTCTGCTAAATTATATAAACGTTCCCACACTTTGCCTCTTTCCACCCGGCTTGGGGCGGGGCCTGACAGGCTTCATAACGGCTGTGGCTGCTACTCAGCAGAGAAGACCCCTCTTTTTAATTGGTTTTAAATTATATTTTATCTGTGGCGTTTTAAATGGTGGGGATGGTGTTTTAAGTTTTGGTTTATGGTTTGGTTTTTGCTTTGTTGGGGGTGGGATTAATGTCTAGTTGGGCCCGGGGGTTAGTTAATTTTTAATATGATTATGATTATTATTATTATTTAATAAATTATTATTTATACCCCGCCCATCTGGCTGGGCTTCCCCAGCCACACTGGGCAGCTTCCCAAAGAAATATTAAAATATTCTAATACTTCAAACATTAAAAGCTTCCCTAAACAGGGCTGCCTTCAGATGTCTTCTAAACTATGTCTTCTAAATATAACTATGAATTGTTTTCTGTTTGTTTCTTTTTTTTTGTATATTGTTTTATATACCATAGTTTGTATCTGGTTCTTAAGGGGAGGGGTCAGGGCAGCTGGGGAGTGGGTCCCAGCCAACAGAATGGCTGGGGCAGGTTCCACAGGTGGGGGGGATGTGCTGCGACACCCAATCTCAGTGATCACGGGTAGGAGGAGGAGTTATGCTAAGACCAGACCATGTCATTACTGAGGAGGCAGGTTTAGTTGTTGTTTGAAGACAATCCCTGCCTCCGGGTCTGGTCTTGACCAGGTGGATACCAAAATCAACAAGGTAGATCCACATGAACTGAAGTTGCTGCTGTGCAATGCCATGTCAGTGATTTATAAGACCACTTCCATCCATGACTTGATCGTGGATGGAGGACTTGCCCTGGCATGTGTGACAGAGACTTGGTTGGATGAAGCAGATAGGCATGTCCTTCCCACTGCTTGTCCACCAGGTTTCTCGTACGCACGCAACCCAGGTCATGTGGGCGGGGAGAGGGGGTTGCAGTGATTTTTAGGAAGTCACTATTTAACACTGGGTGTCCTATTGGGAAGACCCAGTTCTCTGAGTGCATGTTCTGGAAGTTGGGCAATAGGGGCAGTACAGGATTCCTTTTGGTGTATCATCCTCCACACTGCACCAAGGATTCCCCACCTGAGCTGCTTCAGGTCGTGGTGGATGTTCTCCTGGAGACACCTAGTTTGGTTGTCCTACCTAGGGGATTTTAACATCCATGCCGACACGACCTTACAAGGGGCCGCTTGGGACTTCATTGAAAACATGGCCTCCATGGGGCTGTCACTGAATAAGACATGGGTGATCTGACACTAAGTATAAGCGAAACTAAAGAAGTGCCATGGTCAGATCACTTCCTAGTGCAACTGGACTTCTCCTCAACCCTACCCCTCTGCAGGGAGGTGGGACCAATTCAGATGCCCCCCCCCGCCACTTAATGGATCCAAATGGTTTCCAGAGAGTGGTAAGGAATGCTTTATGTCATGTTGATAGCCTTCCAGATGATTCCTTGGTGGCCCGCTGGAATGCGGAGTTAACCAGGGCTATTGACTGTCTGGCTCTGAAGTGCCCTCTCTGATTGCATTAATCCCAGACAGCGCTGTGGTTTTCCCTGGAGCTGAGGGCAATGAAACAATCACTGAGACGGCTGGAGCACCAGTGGTGGAAAACCCATTTTGAATCTGACCGGACGTGGGTTAGACCTCAACATTGAGCCTACCAAGTGGCGATAGTAACGGCGAAGAGGACTTTCTTCACTGCCTCTATCGTATCTACAGAAAATAGCAGCAGGAGACTCTTTCAGGTGCTTCGCAATTTAACGGAACCACTTTTGCCACTGGGGCCTGGTAAAGACCCCAATATTTTCTGCAATGATTTTGCAAAGTTTTTCGCAGATAAAGTGCTCAGATCCGGAAAGAAGTAGACTCCACCATGGGAGCAGGGCCAGGGCGGGAGAGTGCTAGAGTCCTGTCTAGTCTTGTTACATGGGATCAATTTCAATCTGTTACCTCCGAGGATGTGGACAGGCTGCTTGGACAAGTGAAACTGACCACCTGTCTCCTTGATCCTTGCCCATCCTGGCTGATAAAAGCGAGCCAGGAAGGGCTGGGCGATGGGCCAGATTGTGTCAAAGGTGTCTCTTTTGGAGATAACTTTGATTAGACACTAATGGCGTGTGAGGCATTATGACAGAGTAATGGTCCAGATGTTATTAATCCAAGCCTCTATTGTTATTTTAGAGATTTCCTTCCATCATGGGTAATAACTGTAGTCTAGCTGCTGTGAACAAAAAGGAAATTAATTATTTAGTTTGAAGCGTAGAATATGGGGTCAAATATGGTTGTAATAAGGTAAGTGCTGAATAAGGACAGATAGAGATTTGTTTAGAGATTTTGGAGGTCAGATAAAAAGCTCTTCCCCAGAATTCATGGACCATGGTACACCCCCACTAAACGTGAAAATGGGAATCCGAGACCTTCTGCATGCAAAGCAACTGCTCTACCACTGAGTTGCACCCCCCCAAATATAACAAAGTCTAACTTTCTCCATCAGTCAAAACAAAAACTGTAACTTTCTCCATCAGCAACTTTCTCCATCTGTAACTTTCTCCATCAGCTCCCTCTTTTTTTAAAAAAGGTACCCAACTGGACCACCATTTAGGGTTGCCTTGTTACTGTTCTAAGCCCCTTCCCGGGAGGAGGCTTTTTAGAAATTGGGGGGGGGGGTCGTTTTTTGCTACTGCTGCCAGAAATTGAACCCATGAATTTCTCACTAAATAAACGGGAACATAGAGCTTGCCTGCTAGGAAGGGCATTTCTGTTTGCAGAGAGGGGGAGGTGGATCTCCTGCCGCTCCCCCTCCCTCTGGGTCAAGGAGCTCCGCTTCCTAGAAAGGGAGGAAGTGGCTTTTTTTGGGGGGGGAAGGCAATTTGGAGGGGAGGGGTCTCCATCTTCATTCCCGGAAGAGAAGCGGGATTGGAGAAGAGGAAAAAGAGGTGCCGCATATTGGGGGGGTTATTTGGGGGTGGGGGTGTTGTGGGAGAAGGATTTGCTTTCCCTCCCCCTGAATCTACAAATGGCAGCTGGGAAAGGAGGCGGGAGGATTGGGGGGGGGGGGGGTAGAAAGGAAACAATGAAAGGAAAGCAGGGAGAGGCTTCGCCCTTTCTCTGTGGGAATGGGGGGCGGGCGGGATGCAGACCACCTGGCTACAAAGTGGGGTCTCTCCCCCCCCAACAGGGTTTGCATTGCAAGACCCTTTTCGAAGCGCAGCGAAGACACAAAAGGGTGCCCCCCCAGTGGAACTTAATTACAAAGGGGTTTGCCGCCCCACCCTGTGCATGTTGACTCAGCTGTCAGTCCTCCGTTCAAAGGGGGGGGGGCAGCCCCATTCCGCCTAGTGATGCTC